CAGAGCACCCACGGAGTCGGCGCCTATGCAAGTGCTCCTGGACCAGGTGTTAGCCTGAACTGTGTGTGCACCATGGGGCTGGTTTCCAGTGGTAACGGACCCCATGTGATCCTCAGCGGCCGCAGTCCCCAAAGGGTCACATGGGAATGAGAAGATGGGGATGGTAAGCGAATCAGAGAGGTGGGGGGAGTGTGGCTGTGCGGAGTATCCCTACAGAGAATTACACTGCCCTGCAGGAATCTGCCATGCACTGCTAGTATGCCTGTAACACATCACACGACCACAAGCAGAGTTGCTGCCAACAAGCCCATAGGCCTTCCCACCACTGTTGTGATTGCACTGGCTGTTTGCAAGGCCAGCTACCGAGTCATTCGCCCCCGTGCCAATCCCCTCCAGGGCAGTGCTGTCACTGTGCTAACTGCTGCACTGGTTCAGTTGCTTCTCCAAGTGCAATCCCACGAGGCTTCTGCCTGCCCTTCTGAGCATCATCTCTGTCCCCTGTCCAGGCCTTAGCGGCGCTAAACACCCCAGCTCCCCGCACCCTTGTTCTGGGGAGGCCGAGAGCACCTGAAGTGGGGCTGAGCTGCTTTCTGCTCTACCAATCTCCTTCTCCACCCCAGCTCCCCGGGCCCAAAGAGCAAAAGGACACAAAAGTTGGATGAAGAATACAGCTTTATTTTGGAAAATATTGCCGCTTTGTCTGCGGGCCAGCGGGGAGCTTTTCCTTTTCCCTGGGGCAGATTCTCCACAAAGCAGGAAGGACACACTGAATGGTTAATTAACAAACATACAGACATGGACAGGCCCAGGCATCCTCCTCCCTCCTGCTTTACAGGGGTTTGCCACAGCTCTCCACCCACTTCGTCAATGCATCCCCCACCCCCAAGATCTGGGGGTGAGAAATCAGAAATGTCGTTATTTATATCGACGTTCCAGTCATTCCTAGAGACATGCACCCTTGTGGCTCAGCCTGTACAGACTTATCAGAGATAATCCCTGTCCCAAAATGCTGACAAGCCAAATGGACAAGCCAGGCTAGGGTGGCTGCGGGGAAGAGATGTAACACGCAAGCAGAGTGATCAGAACAATGAAACAACTTTGTTAGTTCCACAATTTATTCGCTTTCTGTCCCCCTGTCTGGGGTGCATTTCGTCTTATGAATTGATAAATAATGACCATTGATTAATGAATTCATACCCCATCCCCACCATGTAAACCCATGGTGCTGTAGATGATAAATGCGCTGAGCAAGTGTAACCCACACACCTCCTGGTTGTGGTGGTCTGTCCCAGCTAATGGCACTGAGACCACTGGGCGAGATTAATGCATCAGCTCTACAGCCCTTGCTAAGGGCCATGTGGCTTTTATGCAGTAGAGGCTCATTTATTAAGCTCCAAAGGTCCCAGGTTCAATTCCACCTGCCGACAACCAGCGTCTGTTGGTGTTACGCAAGTGAACACCGATTGGGTTGCAAGGGTGCTGTGTGTTACAACAGCTGTTGACTGTTCATGATGCAGCACACAAGTGCTAAGTTCCATCCCTGGCCTGGGCACGAACATTTCTGCTCCCACGTGGATGGACTAGGTCAGGAGTGGGCAAACTTTTTGGCCCGATGGCCACATCTGTGTATGGAAATTGTATGTCTGGCCATGAATGCTCACAAAATTGGGGGTTGGGGTGCGGGAGGGGGTGAGGGCTCTGGGCTGGGGGGTGCGGGGCTCTGGGGG